ACTGGAGGATGAGTTGGTTCAGTGGTAATTGAAAGAGTTCAGGACAGTCTTTGCCTTTTAAATGGCAGATCAGAAGAGTCTGAACATTGCCATTATGGGAGTAATGGTCCACTGAAATGAAGGCATTGGGGTGAATTTGACTCTGAAGTTAAACAAATATTTATAGTAATGTAGACCTGTAGGTATTTGAAGTGAAGCATGTTAGACACTAATATATCTAAAATGACTTTAATTTCTCTGGTTAGTTATAGGGAACATGAAAGATGGACTATGTAGAGAATATATTACTAATAGCTATTACAATCCTCTGTAGTGGATCTAGTGCATATACTAAATATGTAGATTATTTATTAACTATATCCCAAAATATTATTTCAGATCTGCAATACAGCTGGTAATAATGTAGTAATAACTATATATTGAAAGAAGAAGATAAGACAGATGATTTATACAGTATTTGGTGCTAGTTCAGGTGATTCATATGAGAGATGTAGTGTGTGTGAGGTCATGGATCACGGCTGGCGGTAGGCCCATGTTGTTTTGGAGAGATGCTTAACCAGTTGGTGGTAAATCCCCATGTGCTGCTGAGCCACTGTGGATTGATGGAACAGCAGTTGATATGACTATCTTTAACACACGCACGCACACACACACACACACACACACACACACACACACACACACACACACACACACACACACACACACACACACACACACACACACACACACACACACACACACACACACACACACACACTTTTCATTTGAGAGAGAGAGAATATGTTTTCTGTTCATTCTATGGTTATTGTTTACATGGATTGTAGGTTACTGTCATGTGTTTTGTGTGTATCTCATTCCTGTGTATGTCTGTGTTGATATGTGTCATTGTTACTGTGTAATGTGTTGGTTGTCTGTGCTGAGCATGGTACTCATGTGGATAATTAAACCCTCACAGTGATGCTCAAACTAATGTGTTAATTTACTTATTCACGCCTCCGCACTGCCTCAACACACGCTCACTCACAGACTCAGTCACGCTCCAAACATACACAGCAGCTCGGCTGGCTAGCTAAGACAGACACACTACTGACTGACTACTGGGATTAGACACAAAGCAGTTTACAAATTCTGTAAAAGAGTACATAGTAGTCAAGGTGTCCGTGTGTGTGTGTGCATATGTGTGTGAGAGAGCTTTTGCTTGGAAAGACTAGTGGAATAGGAGGATTATAGGGATGTAATGGAAGAGTGGGAATGGCAGAGGAGAGAGTAAAAGGATAATAATGAGGAAATTCAGAGGTGATGGAGAGAAGAGAAAGAGATTGCATATTGGAAGAGATGGAGAGGAGATGAGGACAGGAAGACATTTCAGAGGGAGGACCCTATGGTAGCCCAGCCACATCTGATGAGTAGAGCTGAGACAGGTTCTAGGCGCAAAGCCTAGTAATGTTGATGTAAAGTGAGGGATGGAGGAATGGAGGGAGCGACAGTCACAGAGGGAGCCACAGTCACAGAGGGAGCCACAGTCACAGAGGGAATGGAAGGAAATTGAGTTTGTGTAATCTTGTCTCGGATCCATTCCTATACTCCCAGTCCCAAGGGCCCACAGCATCTCCGTCTCATCATTACCATTCAGAGGTTCCATTATTAGCATACGGCTCAGTGATGTCCCGAGGCCAAATAGGAGCACCCAGTGACCTTCCCATAATGCCACTCTCTGCATCCTCCTGGTGTTTCCTGTGTCCAAGGCTCTCTACTCTCTCAGCGGGAAATAAATGGAGCCTTTAAATTAAGGGCGAACTGTGCTTGTCAGTTTGGACGTATTGTTTATTTACACATATATTGCAGTTTAAACAGCTACAAATACTTGGTTAATGTTCAAGCTGTTTTATGAAAAGATAAACATTTTCATAAATTTGTTATTTTCACACAAAACACCTGCCATACATTTGTGCTAAAGAAAATTACTAAAATGATTATGCAGCTAGCTAAGCTGTAATGCACTGCCCTAGCAGAATCATGTTAAAAATGAGACCAATCTCCTCACTTGGGTTGCATAGCATGGCATGCATATTAGATGTTTGAATATAATGTGCCATATGTTGGGTATTTGAGTGGGTATTTGAGTGTATGTATAGACTAGAGTATGTGTGTGCACATTTACAGCATGTTTCTCTGGTAAGAGTGTGTTTATCGTCTTAAACTTTGTGTGTGTTTGTGTGTGTGAGTGTGTTTTGATCTGAATGGCTGGCACCCTGCCCATGTCTCTTGACAGTGATAAAATATGTAGATTAACATAGTGCCCCCTCCCGTAGAAAGCCAACACAGTAATGTATCACAGCAGTTAACAGAATTGACTCACCGCAGCCTCAATTACTAGCGGATTAATTGTCTCTCATCTCATCTCTCTCTGTGTCTCTTTGTGTGCTCTTCCCAGTCAGGGTGGCTGTCTGTCTCCTCCATTGATCTCATCACAAAAATAGCTCTGTTTGTTAACAGGATTTTTTTGGGTAAAGCTATAGGCTAGTTTGTTATGGAGGGGTTGCTCTGCCCATTTAGATGGACAAAGCCCATCTCTGAATTGAGGTGTAATATAGATGTTTAAAAGGACAAATACGTGTTTGTGCTTTAGAATGGACTATCTGTGTGTTTATGTATGGGGATAGTTGTTATCTGGAGAGAACATTCATACTTTAGATAATGTCCCTGCTAGTTTTGGTGGGGAGAAGTTAGAGGGGTCTTTTCTATTGCTATAACGTTTCACTTACATGTTTACATTCAGTATTGTCGTCTTGCAGCAGACTGTACTCCAAACCCCACTGCATGGTTTCTATAGCAACATGGGGATTTCTTCATTGACAAGTGGGTCTTGATTAACTTGGTAAAGAGGCTGATTTGTTAAGCCCTTAAATTGTGTACAAAGCCATGTATCTCTCTTCTTGCAGCTTCTCCATCATTTAGCTGCCAGCTGAACTTGAGCCGAATGCTTCATTAGGTCCAGGCACACTGAGATTGAATCACAAGGAGGAGATGAGGGCTCCACAGCCTTCTTTGTGGGAGGCTGACCAAGGGAGGAGAAAGGAGAGAAAGAGTGTGGGAGAGTGGATGAGGAGAGTGTGCTTGTGTCTGCGTGTGTGAGTGTGTGTGTGTAACAGCAGTGTGTGTCTGTAAGCAGTGTGTGTCAGAGATGGAGTGTGTGTGTGTGAGTGTGTGTGTAACAGCAGTGTGTGTCAGTGCTGGAGAGATTGTGTGTGAGTGTTGAGTCCACACTTAGACAGATGGTGTTTGTACAGCTGTGAATTAAAGCTTTCAGAGAGGATCACTGAGATGGTGGCATCTCTGTTTTTGTATGCCAGGGGGATAGGAGGATCTGTTTGAACAGCTCCCCTATTCCTCCCCCAGGGAGGGAAGGATGGAAGAATGGAAGGATGATGCTGTGTGTCAATTGGGTTTAGTGTGGGACTAACTAAATGTTTACTAATGACAGGCCTGTCATGAGCCTCTCACTCCACCGGGTTACCACCTTAATTTTCTTCCACTCTGCTCACCACTCTCTCTACTCAGCCTAACTAGCTCCACCTGTCCCTGCTCTGCTCTGCTCTAATTACTCTGCCAGCTGCGCTGCATTACCCACTACCTCTCCCAGTATTTAAGGCCCTGTCTTTCAGCTCTCCGGTGTCAGATCGTCTGCAAAGCTCACACCCGGAACCTGTTTGCTCGCGCTTCTGGCTCACCCTGGTTTTGTGACCCCGGACCTGCCTGATTTTTGGATACTTTTCTGCCCCAGGAGATCCAGACCTGCTTCTGCTATATCGACTCCTGACTACTCTTCAATCCCGGACTTCTGGACCACCCACCACCAGCTTCATAGGACGCATCGCTGCCACTGGGGGGGGCACAGACCCAGCTCATTGGACGGGATCCCTGTTACCCCTGGAGCCTTCATTCACTCCCTACTTCCCTTTTCCCTTAAGTTTTAATAAACTTTCTGGTGTGACGCAATTGTGGTCCTCTGGTCGTCTGTCTGAACCGTGACAAGGCCTCTGTCAACTGTTGGTTATGAGTGGGCTGTGTGTGTGTAATAAATGTTGTGAGAGTGTTTGAATGTGACATGGTCTTAATAAAGATATGATGTGTGTGGGTTCTGTTAATAATAGGAGGAAGGTTGTATGTAATGGTATGCGTAGAGGGTATGCATATGTAATGGTATGTGGAAAGGGTTGGTTGTGTGTGGGTTGTATGTACCACTGTAATTTGTTGGACATCCGTGGACGTCTGTGTAACGTGGGTTATTAAAGCTTGCCTATAGCTGGGTAAGGCTGTGTGTGTATGTCTGTTTAGCTGTGCCCAGAACAGCACTATGTTCAGCTCTGCCACGTGTGTTCATCTCTGAGATCTCTGTGTGTCAGTTTGTATTAAACCAAGCACTGGCACACACTCAAAGGCTGCAGTTTCAAAGCCCAGAAATGAGAGACGCGAAGACACACACACACACACACACACACATTCAGAGAGAGAGAGTGAAAGAGGGATAGAGAGAGAGAGGGGAGAGAGAAAGAGAGCGAGAAAGAGAGAGAGACAGAGAGAGAGAGACTAGATGGAGGGATAGAGTCACTGTATATCCCTCAGGACTGCAGGGCTGAACTGATAAGAAGGAGTTTCTTCACACAGCCCTGACCAGATAACACAACATCTTCACACACACTATTTAGACTGATGTCTGAAAGGGACTGAGGTTGTTGGGGCTTACATCTGAAACACACTGCCTGCATTGGCCTTAGTTGGTCATAATAATCTGGATGGATGGATGGAGTTGATACAAAAACTATTGTAACTTGAATAGTATTATATTGTCTCTCAAAGTTATATGCAATTACAGTTCTTTACCAGAAATATTTCTCAATGAAACATCAAGACATGTGTATGAGGTAGTAGCAGACAGGAGCAGAGAGGAGTGAGCCAAAACAAATCTGTTTATCTAATGAATATTTCCCTTTGTAATGGGTTTTCACCGCGTCATCTTCTCTCCTCTCTCTTCAGGGCTGGATGACTGTCTGCAGCAGTACATTAAGACGTTTGAGAGGGAGAAGGTGGGGGGAGACCAGCTGCTTCGTATCACCCACCAAGAGCTGGAGGACCTGGGAGTGTCCCGTATCGGACACCAGGAGCTCATCCTGGAGGCTGTGGATCTACTCTGTGCTCTGGTGAGTAGCCATGATGGAGTCAGGGGTGCTGGTCAGGGGTTAGGGCTAGCTAGAGTTAGAGCTTGTCCTGGAGGCTATGGACCTACTCTGTCCCCTGCATTCAGTCACGTATTCCTCTCTAGAGTCACCACCAGGCTGGGTGGAGTCATGAATCATACAGAGAATCTATGATTTATACAGGGATTCAGTGACTCATCCAGAGGATCGATGAAACCCCCAAAGAGTGTGAATCAAGTCAGGAAGTCAGAGAACCATCCAGAGACTCACCAACTGAAGTAGCTTTTTAGTCCAAGCCTAGGCTTAATCTGTGTCCGGGAAGTCAGGCTTCGGTGTTTAATCTGTTTTCCTTTGAATGTTTTGGGGATAGTGAAGACCCCTTTTATAGAGGTCAGACAGGCAGCTGGCGGGGATAATGCTTAACTGTAAGAGTCTTTACAGCTTAGGAGTGCGGTGCTAGGATATGTTGAAGCATTTTTGCTCTGACAGCATTTCAGACTCTTGTTCAATCTTGTACGTTTTGTTTTGTCTGACAATCTTAGGACATATCGTTTTATAATCCCCTTAAGTAGCATTTTCTTTCTGATTATTGATCATTAGTAGTTGCCACCTTCACAGTTGGGTAAACATCTGATTTAGGCTGATAGTGTTGTATTAGACCAGGTAATTGCCCTGTTTGTCAGTTAAATTCCCCTGTTCCATCTGTATCCTGTAATTGATTCCAGAGAAAATAAACACACACACACATACTGTACAATCACATCACCCCACACACAGACACAAAACAATACACATCAGCATCTAGGGGGGTTTGGGTGGGTGTGACACATGGATGACAGAGAGTGATGACCAAGAGAATATAATAGATAGAGAGAAAGAGGGGGAGAGAGAGGAAGAGAGAGAAGAGAGAGAGTGCGAGCAGAGAATGAGTGGGTGAGATTAATGGGACTAAAGGGAAACGAGTGACGCGTAAAGAGGAGGTGGGATGGAGAGAGGGAAGGAGTGATGTAGAGAGAGAGGAGCTAGAGAGGAGGGGACGGAGAGTTAGGAAACAGAGGTCACAGATGTTATCTGAAGCCCACTCATCCTCCATAGCCACATGGGTAAGCCTCGCCTTCATTCCCAAAGCCCCTTATGCAACTGGGATTTAGTTAAATCAGTCAGTCAGGCATGCTGTATTAAATATGATTACTCATCGGCCAGCCCCCATCCAAGAAACCCTGGCATGACAGACGCCCTCAGACACCCACGTGCATAGGGGGCATTGTGGGTAGTGCATGATGAGTGTTTTCTTGTTTCCCCACACATGCGAGGTGACAGCTGGAGGGGGAGTGGGGGTGGGTCTGATGGATCACTGGTTCTGTTAGATCCTCAGATGTTTGTCACACAGTGAGGCAGGCGTAAGCAGGCGGGCTGGACTCCCTATGAGCCCCTGTCAGTACGACTGGGTTTTTATTTACCACGCTTTTAATCCCTGTACTTTCACTGCCTGTATGGAAAGAAACGTTACAGTGAATTATTTGTGTATGCCACATTCATTTCCTTTGAACGACAGTGTGAACAGTGCTTACGGACAAGGGAGTTTAGGTAGTGTTTTTATGATTACCGTAGACTTGTTTATCTCAACAACTTTATCATACAGTATATTTACAGCTCTTGGGGAAGGTAGTAGCCTTTAATTTTCTCTTTTAGTTGCTTTCACATGTACAGGATGTGACTCACTGGTTAGTGTGCACTTTGTTCTTCACACACTATAGTCAAGATCTCCTTTGGTGAAATGCACCCATGTCAGGCGACTTCCTGTAATTGTGTATAATATTGGCTCTGACATTGCTGTTGTTTGTTTGGAATTGATATCTACAGGGTAAAACCCCTTGAGACCCGTTGAGACCCACCATCACCTCTTCCTGAGGGTTCTGTAGAAACATAAAACAACAGAAAGCATCAACAGTCCCATGTACAATAACAATAGCATCCCGGTAGTAAATTATAATGACAACAAGAATCGACCAAAACAATACAAATCATATCCCCTCTCCTTTCTCTCTTTCTCCCTCAGAACTACGGTTTGGAGACCGAGAATCTGAAGACTCTATCCCATAAGCTTAATGCCTCAGCCAAGAACCTGCAGAACTTCATCACAGGACGGCGGCGCAGTGGTCACTATGACGGCCGTGTCGCCCGCAGGCTGCCCAACGACTTCCTCACCTCCGTGGTGGACCTCATCGCTGCAGCCAAGAGCCTGCTGGCATGGCTGGATAGGTGAGATTTGCAATGAGCTACAGTACACACACAATCACAAGCATACATGCTCAGGCACACTCTATTATACCCAGACTATTCTCATAGGTTGCTTTTCAAATCACACAGTTCTCTATGTAGTGCACTACTTTTGTCCAGACCCCATAGGGTGTCATATGAGAGTTTACCCATAATTAATTCAGAGGTCAAGGGTCAGAAACGGTTCACTGGGTAGCAGAAACACATGGTCTGTTTTTGACCACTCAAACACGACTAAGTTGATGTCCTTACATAATTTCCATGAGCAATCAGCTGACAAACAAAAGATGAGTAAAGCCTTTATGTAAGTGTTGATTTTGAGAGGTTGGCCATGAGAGATCACTGAGCGTGTCTGTTAGGAGCTACTGTTTATCGTCCTCAGGTCCTCTGTGAGATGCTGCCAGACAGTGTGTGTGTGTGTGTGTATGTGTGTGTGTGTGTGTGTGTGTGTGTGTGTGTGTGTGTGTGTGTGTGTGTGTGTGTGTGTGTGTGTGTGTGTGTGTGTGTGTGTGTACGGGTGTGTGTACGGGTGTGTGTACGGGTGTGTGGGTGTATTAAGACATGCAGTAAACAAACATGTTTGTTTACTGCATAACTAGTTTGATTCCCTAGACTTGCACTGTAATTTAAGAACTGAACAATACCAGCGTCATATACTACACTGAACAAAAATATAAACGCAACATGTAAAGTGTTGGTCCTATGTTTCATGAGCTGAAATAAAAGATCCCAGAAATTCTACATATGCACAAAAAGCTTATTTCTCTCAAATCCTGTGCACAAATTTGTTTACATCCCTGTTAGTGAGCATTTCTCATTTGCCAAGATAATCCATCCACCTGACAGGTGTAGCATATCAAGAAGCTGATTAAACAGCATGATCATTACACAGGTGCACCTTGTGCTGGGGACAATAAAAGGCCACTCTAAAATGTGCAGTTTTGTCACACAACAATGCCACAGATGTCTCAAGTTTTGAGGGAGCGTGCAATTGGCATGCTGACTGCAGGAATGTCCACCAGAGCTGTTGCCAGAGAATTGAATGTTAATTTCTCTACCATAAGCCGTTTCTCTACCAACGTCGTTTTAGAGAATTTGGCAGTACGACCAACTGGCGTCACAACTGCAGAACACGTGTATGGCGTTGTGTGAGCGAGTGGTTTGTTAATGTCAACATTGTGAATAGTCCCCCATGGCGGTGGCGGGGTTATGGTATGGGCAGGTGTAAGCTACGGACAACGAACACAATTTCATTTTATTGATGGCAATTTGAATGCACAGAGATACCGTGACGAGATCCTGAGGCCCATTGTCGTGCCATTCATCCGCCGCCATCACCTCACGTTTCAGCATGATACACAATTCCTGGAAGCTGAAAATGTCCCAGTTCTTCCATGGCCTGCGTACTTGTTGCATGTTGCGTTTATATTTTTGTTCAGTATATATCGGGACAGTGCATTTTTTCTTATTTTGGCTCTATGCTCCAAAGGTTTGGATTTGAAGTCAAACAATGACTATATGGTTAAAGTGCAGACTGTCAGCTTTAATTTTTGGGTATTTTTATCCATATCGGGTGAACCAATTAGAAATTACAGCACTTTTTGTACATAGTCCCCCCATTTTAGGACACCAAAGGTTTTTGGACAAATTCACTTACAGTATATGTGTATTAAAGTAGTAAAAAGTTACAATTTTGGTCCCATATTCATACCACGCAATGACTACATCAAGCTTGTGACTACACATTTGTTGGATGCATTTGCTGTTTGTTTTGGTTATGTTTCAGATTATTTTGTGCCCAATAGAAATGGTAAATAATGTATTGTGTCATTTTGGAGTCACTTTTATTGTAAATAAGAATATAATGTTTTCTAAACACTTCTACATTAATGTGGATGCTACCATGATTATGGATAATCCTGAATGAATAGTGAATAATGATAAGTATAATGATAAGTGAGATGGTTACAGACGCACAAATATCATACCCCCCAAAAAATATTATGTATTGGTGGGAGGTTAGCATGTCTTGAGGGTATGATATTTGTGCGTCTGTAACTTTCTCATTGATCATTATTCACGATTCATTCAGGATTATCCGTAATCATGGTAGCATCCACATTCATGTAGAAGTGTTTAGAAACATATTCTATTCTAATTTACAATAAAAGTGACTCCAAAATGAAACAATACATTATTTAACATTAATTTCTATTGAGCACAAAATATTCTGAAACACAACCAAAACAAACAGCAAATGCATCAAACAAATTTGTAAAGTCACAAGCATGATGTAGTCATTGTGTGCTATGAATATTGGACCAAATACTTTTAATACACATAAGTGAATTTGTCCCAATACTTTTGGTCCTCTAAAATTGGGGGACTGTGTACTGAAAGTGCTGTAATTTCAAACGGTTCACCTGATATGGATGTAAATACCCTCATATTAAAGCTGACAGTCTGCACTTTTACATTGTTTGATTTAAAATCCAAGCTGTTGGAGTATAGAGCCAAAAGAAGAAAAGAACAATGGAGATAACAGTCATTGTCATATATAATATGACACACGATACACACTTCATACTCACCAACATGTATTGTCCAGTCAAAGGGATTAGAATTAAGAATGATCTAATGGTTAATTCCAGGTGCTACTTCTTTTTCAGGTCTCCGTTTGCAGCAGTGGCAGACTACTCCATGACAAGAAACAATGTGATTCAGCTGTGTCTAGAGCTCACCACGATTGTACAGCAGGTAAGCCATCAAACACAGTCCCATATACAGCTGTACCACTAGCTAGCATTACCACTGTTACTGTTTCCCAAAACTGGGTTATAACAAACATTTCTCAAAGCCTTTTTTAAATTAAGTTAGTCAACACGGAAGCTGTGTTCTCTGCTCTGCTATTGGAAATGACTATATGTGTCATCATGCCCATGGAGAGAGGATAGCCTCTGGCTACTCAAATGTAGCCTTGCCTTTTGTAAAGAGCATGACGGCCTGCGTGACTACCATACAGTATGTGTTTCTCTGTGTTGCTCTAATTCGTACTGCGGGAGCAGAGCTGAGCTGTCCCAATATATATAAATAGGGGAAGGCTGTGACTGTGTAGAGACATCCGTCTTCACTAGAGCAGGACAAGGTACTGTAGGGGGAGGGCTGCAGGGAGTGAGGGAGTGTTAGTTCAGCGCTGGGTCCTGCAGGGATTGGCACAAGGACAGGCAGGCACATACGAGAGGCAGTGGCGTATGACGCACCCCCGCAGTCCCCCTAAAAGCTCAGGGCTCCCCAGATAGCATATGGGCACGTCATAAGCCATAGCAAAATGTTTAGAATTACAGGAAGTTAGCTTTAAAACTGCAACATTTTCTCTCAGCCTCATGGATTTTTTTTTTAATAGCATAAGGTTAGCTATAAAACTGCAAATTTTTCTCTCAGCCTCATGGCCAAATGTGTAGAATTGCATGAGATTAGTTAGGGGGGGGACTTGCTTAGACCTTGCGGGGGGGCCTCTCGAAACTGCGCTACGCCACTGAGGAGAGGGTCTCGTCCAAGACTGGGGAGGTGCTCCAAAAGACCAGCAGGTAGAGAAGTGGAGGTTTCATCTGTGTTTGGCTGTCCTTAGAGTCTATCTGATGGCAGGGAGATATCGCCAGTAGAGAGAGAGAAGGAGCAGAGAGAGGTAGCGAGGGATGCAGGCCCCAAAAGGGTGGACTGTTTGTGTGTGTGTGTGTGTGTGTGTGTGTGTGTGTATGTGTGTGTGTGTGTGTGTGTGTGTGTGTGTGTGTGTGTGTGTGTGTGTGTGTGTGTGTGTGTGTGTGTGTGTGTGTGTGTGTGTGTGTGTGTGTGTGTGTGTGTGTGTGTGTGTGTGTGTGTGTGTGTGTGTGTGTGTGTGTGTGTGTGTGTGTGTGTGTGGTGTGTGTGTGTGTGGGGCGGGGGGTGGGACATCGGTGCTGAACCTCTCTGTTCTTTGCAAATAGCCACTTTGTTATATCTGGAATAATAATCACTTCTCTGACACATTGTCCTGTGGTAACCTCTGCCTCTCCATCTCCCTCTGTTTTTCAGGACTGTTCTGTGTATGAGACAGAAAATAAGATTCTGCATGTGGTGAGTGGGCCCACTTATTTCAATTCCCTTCAACACATCCAAACATAATTAAAATCCCCATAACTCAGTTACTGGCTGGCGACTCATCCCTAATCCATCTTAAATCACTGTTCACTCTTTTCCCCTTCACTCCATCCTTCCCTTTTCCAGTGTAAGACTCTATCTGGAGTGTGTGATCACATCATCTCTCTGTCCTCTGACCCGATGGTGTCCCAGTCAGCCCATTTGGAGGTGGTTCAGCTGGCCAACATCAAGTCCACTGAGGGACTGGTAAGACTCCCCAGACACTCAGGCATACAGACTAGAAGGTCTTGTGCCTTGTACTTACTTTCTCTCTCTCACACAAATACAAAACATGCACTCTTTCTGGGTGATCAACCTATACAAAATACCCCATAACGACAAAGTGAAAAGAGGCTTTTAGAAATACCTTATTTACATAAGTATTAAGACCCTTTGTTATGAGACTTGAAATTGAGCTCAGGTGCATCCTTTCCATTGGTCATCCTTGAGATGTTTCTACAACTTGATTGGAGTCCAACTGTGGTAAATTAAATTGATTGGACATGATTTGGAAAGGCACACACCGGTCTATATAAGGTCCCACAGTTGACTTTGCATGTCAGAGCAAAAACCAAGCCATGAGGTTGAAGGAATTGTCAGTAGAGCTCAGAGACAGGATTGTGTCAAGGCACAGATCTGGGGAAGGGTACCAAAACATTTCTGCAACATTGAAGGTCCCCAAGAACACAGTGGCCTCCATCATTCTTAAATGGAAGAAGTTTGGAACCACCAAGACTCTTCCTAGAGCTGGCCGACCGGCCAAACTGAGCCATCGGAGAGAAAGGCCTTGGTCAGGGAGGTGACCAAGAACCTAATGGTCACTCTGACAGAGCTCCAGAGTTCCTCTGTGGAGATGGGAGAACCTTCCAGAAGGACAACTATCTCTGCAGCACTCCACTAATCAGGCCTTTATGGTAGAGTGGCCAGACGGAAGCCACTCCTCTGTAAAAGGCACATGACAGCCCGCTTGGAGTTTGCCAAAAGGCACCTAGGACTCTCAGACCATGAGAAACAAGATTCTCTGGTCTGATGAAACCAAGATTGAACTCTTTGACCTGAATGCCAAGCGTCACATCTGGAGGAAACCTGACATCATCCCTAAGGTATAGCATGGTGGTGGCAGCATCATGCTGTGGGGATGTTTTTCACTGGGAAACTAGTCAGGATCGAGGGAAAGGTGAACGGAGCAAAGTGCAGAGATCCTTGATGAAAACCTGCTCCAGAGCACACAGGACCTCAGACTGGGGCGAAGGTTAACCTTCCAACAGGACAACAACCCTAAGCACACAGCCAAGACAACGCAGGAGTTGCTTCGGGACAAGTCTCTGAATATCCCTGAGTGGTCCAGCCAGAGACCTGAAAATAGTTGTGCAGCGACGCTCCCCATCCAACCTGACAGAGCTTGAGAGGATCTGCAGAGAAGAATGGGAGAAACTCCCCAAATACAGGTGTGCCAAGCTTGTGGCATCATACCCAAGAATACTCAAGGCTGTAATCACTGCCAAAGTTGCTTCAACAAAGTACTGAGTAAAAGTTTTGAATACTTATGTAAATGTGATATTTCAGTTTTTTATTTTTAATACATTTGCTAAAATTTTAAAAACCTGTTTTTGCTTGTCATTATGGGGCATTGTGTGTAGATTGATGAGGGAATTTTAAAAAATGGATTTTAGAGTAAGGCTGTAACGTAACAAAATGTGAATAAAGTCAAGGGGTCTGAATACTTTCCGAATGCACTGTATTTACTTAGTAGATTTCTCCTGTACAATATGTGGACATAAACTGTTATCTAAAACCTCCATGTTTGCTCTGACTTGCACTTAGATATGACTGTCCTGCTTGGGGCTGTAAGCTCCCACCCCCACACACAAATAAATGCACAGACCACACAGAGGGCCACAGAGCTTTTCACATACAGTACAGGCAATATAACCTGAACAGAGGAGTGGGCCGTGTGGGAAAAAAATAAACCTCTTACTCTCATCTCACTCAGACTGAAATGCACTGAGTGTGTGTGCTTGTGTGTGTCTATTTGTTATGCATTTACAGCCCATCTAAGGGCAGGCTTGAACATTTTAGTATGTTTGTCTGTTTGCCTCTACAAGTGACAGTGACCGATTGAATATTTACGATATGGATTTTTTTATTTATTTTATTTATTTATTTCACCTTTATTTAACCAGGTAAGCCAGTTGAGAACAAGTTCTCATTTACAACTGCGACCTGGCCAAGATAAAGCAAAGCAGTGCGATAAAAACAATAACACAGAGTTACATATGGGGTAAAACAAAACATAAAGTCAAAAATACAACAGAAAATATATATACAGTGTGTGCAAATGTAGCAAGTTATGGAGGTAAGGCAATAAATAGGCTATAGTGCAAAATAATTACAATTAGTATTAACACTGGAATAATAGATGTGCAAGAGATGATGTGCAAATAGAGATACTGGGGTGCAAATGAGCAAAATAAATAACAATATGGGGATGAGGTAGTTGGGTGGGCTAATTTCAGATGGGCTGTGTACAGGTGCAGTGATCGGAAAGGTGCTCTGACAACTGATGCTTAAATTTAGTGAGGGAGATAAGAGTCTCCAGCTTCAGAGATTTTTGCAGTTCGTTCCAGTCATTGGCAGCAGAGAACTGGAAGGAATGGCGGCCAAAGGAGGTGTTGGCTTTGGGGATGACCAGTGAGATATATTTTATGAGATATATAGATTTATGGATGTGTTTTATGTAGCTTTGTACTGAATGTATTTATGTGTTTGTGTTTGTTATGTACTGTACATGGATGTGTGAACTTGTCAGGATATGGCTGTAAGCTACCTCTCTCTGTCTCTGTATAGGGCATGTACATCAAATCGACATATGATGGCCTGCATGTCATCACTGGAACTACAGAGGGAGTGAGTATATTTTCAACATTGTCAGTCAGGACTATGAAGCCATAGTCTCCCGAGTGGCGCAGTGGTCTAAGGCACTGTATTGCAGTGCTAGCTGTGCCACTAGAGATCCTGGTTCGAATCCAGGCTCTGTTGTAGCTGGCCGTGACCGGGAGACCCATGGGGCGGTGCACAATTGGCCCAGGATAGGGGAGGGAATGGCCGGCAGGGATGTAGCTCAGTTGGTTGAGCATGGCGTTTGCAACGCCAGGGTTGTGGGTTCAATTCCCACCAGTAAAAAAAATATATATATATATATATTTAAAAAAAGAATGATGTATGCACTCACTAACTGTAAGTCGCTCTGGATAAGAGCGTCTGCTAAATGACTAAAATGTAAATGTAATTTGGCACATAGATCATTCTCCTATGATATAGACGGAGAAGTGTCACTCATGGCTGTGTCACAGTGAATCTCCTTAATGACAGTGAACAGCATCAGGCCCATCAGGTTTTATAGCTGTGTGATGTGTCTTCCTCTCCATAAGTCTCTGGCTGACCGCTGTAAGAAAATCCATGCAGGCGATGAAGTCATCCAGGTCAATCATCAGACAGTGGTGTGTCTCTCTCTCTCTTCTTACCTTATATTATCTCTCTGCTCATCCCCTTTATCTTGTTCTCATCTTATGTTTACATACTGGTATATAACTACCCTATGATTACTACTATGCTTGTGCGAAAGGTAGCCCTTTGTGTTTTTCATTGTGTGTGTGTGTGTGTGTGTGTGTGTGTGTGTGTGCGCGTGTGTGTTTGTTGGCGTGTGGCGCTAGGTGGGCTGGCAGTTGAAGAATTTGGTGAATTCTTTGCGTGGGGACCCCGGCGGTGTTATGCTGACTCTGAAGAAGCGCCCACAGAGTACACTCACATCCACCCCAGCACTGCTGAAGAACATGAGATGGAAACCCTTAGCCCTGCAAGTATGACAACACTTTCAACCTCCACACAACTGATGAATGTGTGTATATACTTTATAGTATATATGGAATAGGGTGGCATTTCAGACACAGCCTGTGTGTTAGTGAGAGGTGATTTATATACTGTATACCACTATTTTATCAGTAGGTTAATGAGTGAGAGGGTGTGTGAACTTTTGCATGTGCATAGTATGTGACTGTCTATGCATGGTGACGGTGAGTATGCAATCAGGAGAGTGCATTTGTATGCTTGTGGATCTCGGTAAAGCAGTGAGTTTTTGTGACTGTGTCTGTCTGTGTGTCATATTCTGCCCCAAACAGTTGTGTAATATAGAAGTCGTATCTGAACTAGTGCTTGGAAGACGCGTGTGTGTGAGGGGCATATGTGACTCCATCCCTGACCCCCCTCTGAGTCCCACGCTGGGCTAAGTGCTGTTTTCCTCCCTCCCCCTGGGGCCCTGACCAACTGGAGCGCATCAGAGCTCTGACGCCTCCTGATCCCCCCCCCCATCCTCTCCTCCTCCTTCTCCCTCTCTCCTTCTTACATTTACATTTACATTTTAGTCATTTAGCAGACGCTATTATCCAGAGCGACTTACAGTTAGTGCATACATTATTATTTTTCATACCCCCTGTGGGAATCGAACCCACAACCCTGGCGTTGCAAACGCCATGCTCTATCAACTGAGCTACATCCCTGCCGGCCATTCCCTCCCCTACCCTGGACGACGCTGGGCCAATTGTGCGCCGCCCCATGGGGTCTCCCGGTCGCGGCCGGCTACGACAGAGCCTGGATTCGAACCAGGATCTCTAGTGGCACAGCTAGCACTGCGATGCAGTGCCTTAGACCACTGCGCCACTTCTTTACCTCTTCTCCTCTCCCTACCATCCTCTCCCTCTTGTTTCATCATGCATCCAGATTCAGTTATTGACTTATGCTTTGAATTTACAGTTCATCAAATGCAAAGGATCAAATACATTTTCCATTCCCTAACCCTGCCTTTAGCCATTCTCCAATCGAGAAATGAGCAATTCCCACAAATTGAAGCTCTAATGGTTTGATTAAGCGTAGTCTTAAACTGCTTACGAGACTACACATCACTGCAGTATGTCAGAAAACTAACCCCCTCTCTCTCTCCCCCATCTCCCCCCCTCTTTCCTTCTCCCCCTCTTTCTCTCTCTCTCCTCACAGCCCATCATCCCTCAGAGCCCCAGCAGCAGTGTGGCGACGCCCACCACTACCCGGAGCACCCCGTCCAGGAGAGACAGCTGTGCCCTGCAGGACCTCTTCATCCCCCCGCCCCCTGAGGAACCATACACCCCCAGGTACATATACAAGCTGCCTCACTGTGACATACTGTATGCCTTACCTTAGGGATTACAGTGTAGTCACTGTTCATATGCTGTACTTTTGAGTAAGTTAACTGCAGTGAAATATTGTACAATGGTTTACCTGTGTAATTACGATAGTCTGTGTATTTAGTCAGTTTGTTCCCTTTTGAGGAGTGATTTATGTGCCTTGTAGTATATGAGTTTGTTTAGGTTTACCTATGCAGTCGATGCTCCATAGGTCAGCAGACTCTCTCCATGATCTGTGCTGCAGAGATGACAAGGGGAATCTACCAGGTGACGATGACCTCCAAGCTGAAGTCCCGGTAGCCAAGGGCTCTGAGTCCCCCAACTCCTTCCTGGACCAGGAGTGTCGCCAACATTTTCCTCTGGTGGAGGAGGATGCTGTTCTCTACTGCTATGAGTACGACCAGAACCACGGACCTCCACCTGTCCGCAGGGACAGCACCCCCACTTATGGTATGACCCAGTTGAAGCCTGCATATTTGTATGAGGGATGTCAATCCCCCACATACTATATGGTATGACCCAGTCCAAGCCTGTGTCTTTGGATGTGGGATGTCAATCCCCCACATATGGTATGACCCAGTCCAAGGCTGTGTGTTTGGATGTGGGATGTCAATCCCTCACATATGGCATTAACCCAGTCCAAGGCTGTGTGTTTGGATGAAGGATGCCTGTGGTGCACTTGTTCCTATGCAATGCTTTTTGTGTTTGTAATGTTAGTGTTTGTGTCACTGTGGTGTTAATATAGGCCGTTTGTAGCTCTTTGATGTTCCTGGGTAGGTCTGTAATGTTGTATGTTATCTGTGCTGTGTGCTCCAGGCAGGCTTAGGCCCATCTCCATGCCAGTGGAATATAACTGTGTGGGAGACTATGAAGACTCGGCCAAGCTGAAAAGAGAGAGCAGGAGAGGTGAGTGGGAGGCTGGGATGGAGAGAGAGGGAGAGATAAAGAGCGAGGGGAGACAGAAAGAGAGAGATATAGCAGAAGAGGTGAGTGGGTGGATATCTCTCATAATTGGGCCAGGGATGGGTTTTCTACCTCCCCATCTCAGATGTCTTAGCCAAGGGACCAGGAGGCTGAGCAGCCATGCAAGGCAGGGCTCAGTGCATGATAGCTATGATGCTGAATTAGCTATCCTCCTATTTATCTGTCCCTCTTTTCCTGTATCTTCTTTCTGTGTATCTTAATTAGTCCTTCCTGCTCTCTCTCTCTTTCTCTCTCGTCTCTTTCTCTCGGTCTCCCTCTCTCTCTTTGCTTTTGGGTCTTGAAGGTACTGTATGTCGTTGCCTTGGCAACTGTAGCCAGGATCTTCCCAAGATTCGTGCATTTCATTGGTTGCGGCCAAGCCCAGTGGCAAACAGAGTAGGAAGAGAGCGAATGGCCTTATTTCAGTCTGAGAGGCAGCCATTGTGATGTTATGTTTATGATTCCTGAAGGGGGTGGTGGCAGTCAGTCTACTGTTCCTGTGGGCTTTTCAGCATCAGTGAGGGTGCTATATTTATCTGCCTTTTTGGCAAGAGGCAATATCTTGACATATTGAATGTCTGCCTTAATGCAACATTTCTTTCTATTTATGAGGGAAATGCCCTGCAAATATCAAAATAATGACACTCCTTTAGGAATTACTCTGTTGGTTCAGTGCAGTAATGGAGTTTGAGTGAAGTCTAGATATTTGTCTGAATGACAAGACCGAGTAAAGCCTTAGAGCCCTAAAGCCGAATGCCTGGACACACTACAGGATTACACAAAACATCAATTACACTTCCCAGTGATATGACTCACAAAACTAGCCCATAAGTCAGATTGAGGATATTAGTCAATGGGCCTTGCTCCAGCCTCAAGGCCCTAATGAAATGACTATGCCCACAAGTCACACAACTGTCCCTTTTCATCCAAGCAATCATTACACAATCTCTAGAATTTGATTTTGGCTTGGCTTGTTTTTCGCTGTTGTTTAAAGTTTGCATTAACTAAGTTACAGCACAATGAATATTCAGTAGGTAGAAATTATGTACACATTGTAGGCCTATAGATTCAAATGGCATTCGACAAAGTGATATAATTGCTGGCCTTCCCTGCTCCCATAGAAAACTCTCTGCTGCGCTATGTGAGTCAGAGTGAGGCCATGCCAGAGGAGTACCTGACAGGACGCAGCAGGAAGAAGGGTGACAAGGGCAGCCCCGCCCACTACGCCCTCCACCCAGCCCTCCAGATGGAAGTCTCCATGTCCACATCCAGCTCTGACTCTGCCTCCCTCTATCATGTAAGTCCCATTGGTCCCAGACCCCTGAGACAACACTGACGTGTCGTTTGTTGTGATTAAGGTCAGATATTTCGAGGACTGATCACAGTGAAGACAGACCAATGTGTATTGCTATCTCTCAAATTCATGTGTGTTATTTTGTAGATGTTTGAACGATCCTCGCTGCTCTCAAGGTCTAGGAAGAAGAGTAAAGGTGAGTTATTTAAAACCTACAGTCCATACCCCATGTACAGTCTCAAATATGCACTACATACATCTAGATACATGCTGATGCAGACCAATACAGTCCATTCATTGCTACCCTCTCCTCCTCTCTCCTCACTGCAGTAGGCGGTTCTCTGTCCTCCATCAGTAAGAGGCGTATCTCCTGTAAGGACCTGGGGCGGGGGGACTGTGAGGGCTGGCTGTGGAAGAAGAAGGATGCTAAAAGCTACTTCTCCCAGAAGTGGAAAAAGTACTGGTTCATCCTGAAAGATACCTGCCTATACTGGTACATGAATGAGGAGGTGAGTGTGTGACAGACTTGCTGATTTGTAATACCGTGGCTTCCTCTCCTGATTATCTTATCTAAAATGTGAACCATCCCTATTTATTTTTTGTATGTGTCAGAAAGGTAATGGGTGTCAGAACAATATATGATATTGTGTTTTTTCCTCCCTCAGGATGAAAAGGCAGAGGGCTTTGTTAGTCTCCCAGAATTCAAGATCGATCGTGCATCTGAGTGCCGTAGGAAGTAGTGAGTACATGTATTTGTGTTTGTATACCGATTAATGAATATTTGGGTCTTGTGGTCTGTGTGAACCTCAACATGTGTTTGTTTGAATGTGTCGAGAATGGAGTGTGTGTGTGTCTTTAAATGCATTATATGTTTATGGGTGTCTTGTGTCTCTATGTACAGTATATGCAGTCTGTGTATGTGCCCCAGGATATGCACAGTATGGTGGAATCTGTCCTTGACATCATGTTTATGTGTTCCAGTGCTTTCAAGGCCTGCCATCCAAAGATCAAGAGTTTCTACTTTGCAGCAGACAATGTGGATGACATGAACAGGTGAGAGTCACTGTCAGTGAGGATTACTTAAGCTGACACAGAGCTGAGATATGAGAGGGGGAGACAGGAAGATACAAGGAGGTGAGACAGACTGACAGAAACCTGTAAAGTGTAGGAAAATAGGGCTAGGCAGGTGACCAGGTGAGCTGATGTGAGATGCAAAAACAACCGGGGATAACAGAATGGTGTGTGGTGTGTGAGATCTGGAATGGTGTGTAGCTGTCATGTTTCATTAGTGTTGTTCCCTCACAGGTGGCTGAGTCGTCTGACCATGGCAGTGGCAGGTTACTCGGAGCAGGAGAGGATCCGACAGGACCAGGGTGAGAATACATGAATACACATGAATAAAGCTGGCAATAATAATGGACAACAGCTGCTTTGTTTGCCCTACTTTAGAAAACCCCCCCACATTGTCTCTTTCTGATGGTGACGTGTCCTCTTTTCTGCTTCGTCTTTGTCATCATCACCAGACTACTGGAGTGAAAGTGACCATGAGGACATGGAGATGCCTTCAACCATGCCGAAACAGGACAGCCCTCCACCCCCCTACGACAGCTACCCCAGGCCCCCCTCGGCAAGTTAATCTCTCTTTAAAAAGCTAGACAACAACTCTGTGCATAGTTTTAATATGTTATTTACATTATTGTTACAATGCCATTATATACCTCTCTAGCTGAGTCTCTTCCCTCTTTTTTTATCATTCTGGTAATTATATTAATAACCGGTACAATGCCATTACACCTTTCTGTCTGGTTCTCTTTAGGTGTCCCAGATGAGTCCATACTTGGAGCCTAAACACGGCCGCTTCTCCTCTGAAACCTTCCAGTCACGCTCCTCTCATGAGGAGTTCCACCCCGAGCCACAGGAGGGCAGTGGGGACGGCTCCCCTGGTCAGAAGTCCTCCAGCCAACGGCGTTCGTGGCAGGACTTGATCGAGACTCCCCTGGGCAGCACAGGGCTCCACTACCTGCAGACCCTGCCCCTGGAGGAGGCCCTGCTGCGTTCCCCTGGAGGAGGTGGCCTGTCTGTGGAGTACCGCCGCCAGTCAACCCTCCCTGCTCAGCGCAGCCTGTTGCAGGAGCACTATGGCCCACTGCCCCTGCAACTCAGCCCCAGTGTCCCTGTAGAGGCTGGGGGGAAACCCCGTAGCTTCACCCTGCCCCGAGACAGTGGGCTCCATGCCATCCTCTCGGCCAGCACCTCTGACCACAGGGACCACAACCGCTACCAGCTGGCCAGAGACACAGGTGAGACATTACTGAGACATGACTGAGACACAGGACAAAGAGATGTGACAGCCATGACACCATGAAATGGAGAGACATGACACTGTGAGGCAGAGAAGAAAGAGATTTGACAACAACCTCATTCTCACTCTCTCTGCCACATTCTACAATATAACTTGATGGGTAAAAATAGTTGAATATACTTAAATGGAAATTAGTCCTTCTAGAGTTATAACCAGGTAACCAGTAGTGAGTGACATTGTAATTATAGGCATTGTTCAGGCACAGTCTGTGTCACAGACTTTGCTGATTGTCTGAGAGTTAGACCCATCCCCCAGGACACCTCCAGGACACTATTCTAAAGTGAAGTGAAATCTTAGTGTCCTAATTGACACTAATTCATCCTGGCAGCCCAACCCCCTCCTCGATGTCTTACACACACGCACGCAAACACACACACACACACGCGCGTGCGTGGGCACACACACACAATGAAAAACACATAGGGCAACATTTTTCTCAAGCATAGTAGTAATCATAGGGTAGTTACATACCAGTATGTAAACATAAGATGAGAACAAGATAAAGGGGATGAGCAGAGAGATAATATAAGGTAAGAAGAGAGAGAGAGACACACCACTGTCTGATGATTGACCTGGATGACTTCATCGCCTGCATGGATTTTCTTACAGCGGTCAGCCAGAGACTTATGGAGAGGAAGACACATCACACAGCTATAAAACCTGATAGGCCTGATGCTGTTCACTGTCATTAAGGAGATTCACTGTGACACAGCCATGAGTGACACTTCTCCGTCTATATCATAGGAGAATGATCTACGTGCCAAATGGCTTCATAGTCCTGACTGAGAATGTTGAAAATATACTCACTCCCTCTGTAGTTCCAGTGATGACATGCAGGCCATCATATGTCGATTTGATGTACATGCCCTATACAGAGACAGAGAGAGGTAGCGTACAGCCATATCCTGACAAGTTCACACATCCATATACAGTACATAACAAACACAAACACATAAATGCATACAGTACAAAGCTACATAAAACACATCCATAAATCCATATCATAAATATTCAATCGGACACTGTCACTTGTAGAGGCAAACAGACAAACATACTAAAATGTTCAAGCCTGCCCTTAGATAACGAATGTGTGTGTGTGTGTGTGTGTGGGGGGGGGGATAATCCTTTCAGCCCATGTTAATGTTGAATTTTGAAGAGGACAAAGAAACATGCCCAAGGGGCCTTTTTTTCTGTCCTAATTTCCCTACTGCGCTATCACTCACTGTCTCTACTGCTCTCTCTATAGACTCTAACACAAAGATATGCAGAAAAAACTGCATGATACACTTCAAGAGGCACAGATTCACAACTGACCCCCGAAACACACAACACGTCTCACAAATACACAAAATAATATGCCAACCACCAGACACAAAACCTCTGGGTCTGTTTGAGTCCACATTGCTTGCCAGATAACTTAACATAAGATAAGAGCTATGTGACAATAGCACCATAAGAGGGCATAAGAGGAAAGTATTCAGACCCCTTTTCCACATTTTGTTACGTTACAGCCTTATTCTAAAATGGATTCAATAGTTTTTTTCTTCATCAATCTACACACAATACCCCATAATGTCAAAGCAAAAACAGGTTTTTAGAAATCTTTGCAAATGTATTAAAAATAAAAAACTGATATATCACATTTACATAAGTATTCAGACCCTTTACTCAGTACTTTGTTGAAGCACCTTTGGCAGCGATTACAGCCTCGACTCTTCTTGGGTATGATGCTACAAGCTTGGCACACCTGTATTTGGGGAGTTTCTCCCATTCTTCTCTGCAGATCCTCTCAAGCTCTGTCATGTTGGATGGGGAGCGTCGCTGCACAGCTATTTTCAGGTCTCTCCAGAGATGGTGGCTCCAAGAGTTCACTCTAACAGAGATCCAGAGTTCCTCTGTGGAGATGGGAGAACCTTCCAGAACGACAACCATCTCTGCAGCACTCCACCAATCGTGCCTTTATGGTAGTGGCCAGACGGAAGCCACTCCTCAGTAAAAGGCACATGACATCCCGCTTGGAGTTTGCCAAAAGGCACCTAAAGGATTCTCAGACCATGAGAAACAAGATTCTCTGGTCTGATGAAACCAAGACTGAACTCTTTGGCCTGAATGACAAGCGTCACGTCTGGAGGAAACAAGGCACCGCTCATCACCTGGCCAATACCATCCCTACGGTGAAGCATGGTGGTGGCGGCATCATGCGGTTTTTCAGTGGCAGGGAATGGGAGACTAGTCAAGATTGAGGGAAAGATGAACGGAGCAAAGCACAGAGAGATCCTTGATGAAAACCTGCTCCAGAGCGCTCAGGACCTCAGACTCAGGACATCACACCTTCCAACAGGACAACGACCCTAAGCACACAGCCAAGACAATGCAGGAGTGGCTTCGGGACAAGTCTCTGAATGTCCTTGAGTGGCCCAGCCAGAGCCCGGACTTGAACCCCATTTAAAATCTCTGGAGAGACCTGAAAATAGCTGTCCATCCAACCTGACAGAGCTTGTGAGGATCTGCAGAGAAGAATGTGAGAAACTCCCCAAATACAGGTGTGCCAAGCTTGTAGCATCATACCCAAGAAGACTTGAGGCTGTAATCGCTGCCAAAGGTTCTTCAACAAAGTACTGAGTAAATGGTCTGAATACTTATGTAAATGTGATGTTTCCGTTTTTTAAATTTTATTTTTTATATATTTGCAAACATTTCTAAAAACCTATTTTTGCTTTGTCATTATGGGGTACTGTGTGTAGAATAAGGCTGTAACGTAACAAAATGTGGAAAAAGTGAAGGGATCTGAATACTTTCCGAATGCACTGTATGTAAAGGATAGCATGGGAAATTCCACAGTAGCAGCCTACTGTGTGTGTGTTGCCTGCCTATGAGGAAGTGCAATGCTGTGCTGAGATCTAGATTCACATGCATGTTGTTGCTGTTGTTTATGTGGTGCAATATAAAACAGCAGGTGAATGACACATATGGTGACTCTGCTTGTCCTCAGGCTGTGAGCGGGAGGGACGTCCCCAGGCTGACTCTTTGGGGGACCTGTACCGGGCCCTGGAGAGGGCAAACCTGTCCTCCATAGGCGACCACCGGCCCTCCTCCCGCCTGGAGTACAAACGTTCCTTCGTCCGCCGCATCAACGACCCACTGCTCAGTGAAAAGCTGCACCGTCTCCGCAACCTACAGAGTGCTCTCAAGGTATGACAGGACCTATAGAATATAGTGTGTGTACAGTGTGTGTATGTGTGTGTGTACAGTGTTTGTAGCCTATACAGTGTATCACCTCTTAAATCACATTCTTCTCTCCTCCTGACAGAATGTCCCTCTTCAGGACTCTGACCCATCATTGGGATTTTTAGGATAGCCTGTGTGGAACAGACCATGGACACAGCAGCCCCATCACAGTCACCTCATACATCCTGCCAAGGGACGTGCCCTTACTGCCCTACCCCAGACATCCCCTCATCCCTGGAAGACAACCATAACAACCAGTGTTACACCCCCCCCCCCCCCCCCCCCCCCCCCCCCCCCCGCTCAATTTCACTCTCTCTGCACACCCACATCTGCTTCTAAGGACCTTTCCTCATGCAAAATAGTTTGCTCAATGAGCAAAATAACCATAACATATTAAATAGATGGGATAACAAATTATACAAGTTGCATCGTGAATGCGTGCAATGCATGTTCACATTATTTACTTAAACTCTGGTTCAATAATAGTAATCTTCTCATTGACATTATTAAAGGAAAGTTACAACATAAATTGCCCTTGAGAATATAGTGAGGCCAGGATTCAATCAGATCAGCGTTAACCCACGGTAACCGACAAATGCATAGCTAAATATTGCTTTTGTTTAGGCAGTGTCAGAGGTGTAACTGTTTTGGAGCTGTCAAATCGGTGAGCGGCTGCTCTTGTGGTCATTGTCACGAAACCACGTTATAAGTTCAGAAGGAGAAAGTGTAGACTATGTAGAAATAAAGACACTCAAATTGAAAATCATCAACCAAAATAAAAAGGATGTCAGCCTAATCTAAGTGTAGATCATAATCAACATTCCGTTGTTCCAACTTGTAACAGGGCTGCATGGGATTTCTACCATTGCGAATCAGTGCATCCAGTGACAATGTCCACAATAGGTATAATGCCGGGAGCCGCCTGTAGATTTGATAGCTCCAACGTAGTTACACCTCTGACACTGCCAAAACAAAAGCAATATGTAGCTATGCATTTGTCGTTACTGCGGTTAGCGCTGATCTGATTGAATCCTGGCCTGAGTTTGATGGTATTTTTTGCACAGTTCATTGTTTTGTGTGAGGAAAATGTCACGTTATGTGTTTTTACGCTAATCTCCCTTTCAGTAGCTCTTCAACACACATTCATCTCACTCTGGGTTTCTGTCCACCCCATCTCACTCACTCACTCACTAACTCACTCACTCTCTCACGCGCTCTCAGAACATTGTCTGTGGAGGACAGTATGGTTTGACTTATTAAGAGTAATCTTCTAGAAGGCACACATGACATCCACAGCCTTTTCTGGTTTGATGATATTGGATATTTCCACCCATCTGAAAGACTGCATTAGTGGGGCGCCCTTTAACTCACTGCTCACCTGCATGACCATGTTAGAAACTTCTGCTTCTGTACAGTACTGTCTGTTCTGAAGACTATGCCAGGGTTGTATCACTACAATGAATCTTGATCCTAAATGAGCTAAAATAAGCAATTGTATTTTTGATGTCTACAATGTTTATGTTATGCATGTGTGAATGGTAAATGAGTATGTACTGTATGTCTGTGTGTTATGAGAGTGTACAGTATGTTAAGCATATATATTTATTTCATAAACTGGATATCACGCTGGTATGTCAGCACAAAATGTAAGGAGATTATATTTCAACTTCAGTGTTGTGCCTCAGAGATTCTGAAAGTATTAACACTCCAAGACTGGGTGAACATAGATAGTTTATGGCTGCAGGGCGGAATTTCTCTCTTATAATAAACAGAAACTGGTGCACAGAGACAGACAGACAGACAGACAGACAGACAGACGAGGACTGGTAATAATAAACCAGTACTGTCAATTGTGAAGAGTTGATCAGAAACACGTGTCTATTTTTGTATGCATGCTATCTATCCAAATGTTTGTAAATGATTTTGTATTCCGAGGAGTGTGTGTGATCTGGAAACTGCTGGTGTGAACCCATCGTCCACATTGTGTTTCTAAGAAATATTTTACATTATAAGTAAAAGCAACAGAAGAAAGTGTTTGTTTTTGAAGTGATCTCTGCTAAAAGGTAAATATCTGTATTTATAAACTGTTCAATGTTTGAGCATGCTTTGTATAACTTAAACAGAATACCATTCCATTTGAAATCTATGGAAGTTGCACATGTTTGCCGTATTGTGGCTAATTTACTTTTTTATTCAATAATAATAAACAAAGGCTTGTCCATCTCCAGAACTCTCCCTGAATGATGATTCCTCCATTTCAAGTATTATATTCCTGATGAGGGGACAGGGGCGGATTGGCCATCAGGCAATTCTGGCAAATGCCAAATGGGCTGGACCCTTTTTTTGTTTGGTGTATAAAAATAATATAAGGTGACATGGCCGGCGGCCAATGGGCCTGTTAAATAGGGAGAAAAATTGTTTTGGGGTGCAATTTCTCTGTTATACTAATCTATAATGAGCCTTTGGCTGATCAGTGGGCAACGGCCCGGTTTTCTGAGCTGAGCTGAGGTCATGCAAACTAACATTCAAAGTCAAACGTGGCATCAGCAAAGAGACCTTCTCCGACTCTGTCATCAGTTAGACAGCCAAGATCATGGATCGTAAAAAACGGAAAGGGTGCCTATAAAAGTAGAAAGACCACATTCTAAATTGTCACCTCACTCAAAACTTCATATTTTTGTGTGGCTAAAACCATGATTTGGTCAAACAGTGCATTAACCTCATGATTCTTGTAATGAAAGTGTGTGCCCCTGTGCCTGTTTTGCTGGGGCCTGCTGCTGTAATGAGCGAGCCACTTTCCTCTCCCCCCATGCACTTGTGAGAAAAATTTGTTCTTATCGTATAACATTTCAAAATATAATTGCGGGAAAAACATTCGTCCCCTTGTCCCTGTCGAATAGAGGAGGGCCTCAGCTTTCTGTTGGTATAATTTATATTTCTCAACTCTCAATATTCAGATCAATAGCAACTATTTTACAACCAAGATATTTGATAAGGCTTTGAGATATGAAGCAGCACGCGCGGAATGCACAGGCCTATATGCCTATAGGTCTCATGGGTAGTATCCTACAAACGCAACGTTTTTTTTTAGAACATTAAATTGACCGTTGGATGAATACATGGCTACTAGCAGTGGGTAGTATATTTAGAGTTAGCGATCTAGTTAATGTGTTTTGAGTTTCCACTTCCTCAGGTGTTGAACCCCAAATTTATTAGCCTATGATATTATTTAGTGCACATAAAGATGTATGTAATTAATCTCTATTCAACAAAAAAAATCAGGACATTCTGGAGTCCTATTTTGAAAGTAAAATATAGCAACTATGGTCTAATTGTCAACCCAAATTTCATGACAAAATATCTTGAGTTGTGCATTCCTGCTTTGACGTGTTAGATGAAACAACGTATTTATTGAATACCTCAGTAGTCTATTTATTACACTTAATAAAGCACTATGAATGACTTAGGATGAATGCTCATGATGATTAATCATGATTTGGGTCCGACAAAATCATGGGCTGGTGCCACTAACTGTAAAAGCTAGTCGCGTCAGTGACACAAGGGGAAAATGTTAGTCTGGAGCCCTATAATAGTAATTAACACTTAGGGCTCTATTCAATCCGCATCGCGGAAGTACAGCTTTACAGCGTGATTGAAATTTAAAGGCAATGTTCCTGCTTTAGCAGAGACTACATTCACGGTAAACTCTGCATATGTCGGCTCAATCGGAAATTACGTTTACATTTATATCGCGGAATCTGTAATGCTTCAGCTTTATAGATTGACTAGAGCCCTTAGGGTAGGTGTTGATTCAGGGGAACACATATGACAGGCACTGATGTGCATAGTGAGTTTGCGGCGCGCGCAGTGATGTGGGCTGGTGTCGATAAAAGGCTAGGGCTGAATTCTTGTCCCAGATTGTACAAGATAAATAAAAAGTTGCCTCTGAAAGTTTCTCCCTCAATGTTGGATGTTTCTTTATATCAGCAGTGAGCATTAATAAGTACCTCTTACCTGTGAACCCCTATGTGGATACGCTTTTGAAAAGCACAGAACATTCTCTATAATATCCATCTAAAGAACAGAGAAGGGAGAAGCTTTCAACATGGCTGTCAGCCTATAAGGAGGTTGATGAATGAGGTAGTAGCAGCAGCAGCCTGATGAGACACCATAGAACAATTCATCTCATGTTCTCACCCCCAACTTAATTTACACTCACTCTTACCTACACTATACAAAAGTATGTGGACACCCCTTCAAATGAGTGGATTCGGCTATTTCAGCCACACCGTTGCTGACAGGTGTATAAAACACATACATGCAATCTCCATAGACAAACATTGGCAGTAGAATGGCCTTACTGAAGAGCTCAGTGACCTTCAAAGTGGCACTGTCATAGGATGCCAGCTTTCCAACAAGTCAGTTCGTCAAATTTCTGCCCTGCTAGAGCTGCTCCGGTCAACTGTAAGTGCTGTTATTGTGCAGTGGAAAATCTAGGAGGAACAACGGCTCGAAGTGGTAGGCCACACAAGCTCACAGAACGTTCTAGTCAATTCTGTGCTTCCAACTTTGAGGCAACAGTTTGGGGAAGGCCCTTTCCTGTTTCAGTATGATAATGCCCCTATGCACAAAGCGAGATCCATACAGAAACGGTTTGTCGAGATTGGTGTGGAAGAACTTGACTGGCCTGAACAGAGCCCTGACCTCAACCCCTTCGAACACCATTGGAATGAATTGGAACACCGACTGCGAGCCAGGCCTAATCGCCCAACATCAGTGCCCGACCTCACTAATGCTCTTGTCGCTAAATGGAAGCAAATCCCTGCAGCAATGTTCAAACATCTAGTGGAAAATCTTCCCAGAAGAGTGAAGGCTGTTATAGCAGCAAAGGGGGGACCAACTCCATATTAATGCCCATG